AGTTAATTCTGCTTAACTGAGACCTTTTGGCCACATATATGAACACTTACACTGCCATCTAGTGGTGTTGGAAGAGTACAACACTCTACACGTAAAATTCCAAATGGCGGAGAAGACAAGAGAAAGTTCGGGTGGGCACTCCAAGCCCAAACATGGACAAGGTAAGAAATCCAATCATATTTCATGGCTAATTTTTGGCGAGATATGCATGAAAGAATTGTAATTTTTTTATGACATGCAAAATTGGTGAAAATAAGTAAAAGTGTTGATAGAGTATGCTGCTAAACATGACTCAGTATTGTTGATAATGTTAATATGTTAGTAAAAATCAGCAGATGTAAATCAGTTTATAGCTAACTCTGGTGCAGTTTTAAAGCTGTACATTAACACAAAGATGCCATAGCAATAGTGAACTACATTAAACGGCGTGCCAAGAACAGCTGTTGTTTCATACAGCTGTGCAAAGACCTGGGATTAGCTCATGTCCAGTTGCTGTGTCGTTCAGAAGTTTGCTTGGCTTTCAAGGGGAAAAGTAATGTCATGGTTTTATGAGCTTAAACACGAAATCACTGCCTTCCTCTCGCACAATAACTCCCTGTATACTGAGATGCTCAGTGATAAATTCTGGAGTGGCAGTGAAGTACGTCAGAGTAGTTCAGGATATGTATGAGAGGAGTACGTCAGTCGTAGTAAAACAGAATACATATGTATGAACAAAAGGGAGGAAAGTGGAACAGTGAGGTTAGAGGGGGCATAGGTCAGGAAGGTGCAGGGGTTTAAGTATTTGGTGTCAACAGTCCAGTGTGATGGGGAGTGTGGGAATGAGCTGTAGAGGTGAGTGCAGATTGGAATGGGTGGAGACTGTAGCAGTGAGGAAAAGACAAGAGGCAGACATGGAGGTAGCAGAGATGAGGATGTTGAGGTTCTGTCTAGGAGGGACCAGGAGGGACAGGATTAGGAATGAGCACATCAGAAGTACAGCTGAGGTCGGCTATTTTGGGGATAGGGTCAGAGAGGCCAGATTGAAATGGTTTGGACACAAGCACACCCAGTGTACACCAAGTACAATCAGAACACATAATGTATTATATTATATTGTCAGAACATTAATTACATCCACAGCCTCATTGACCTCTGTAAATATTTGCTCTGTCCAGTGTGTAATTTGGGATGAATAATTATAAATCCATTTCATATTCTTCAGAGTTCTTGGGGAAAGAGGATTACTTAGTCAACATTTCATTTCAGATACTTTATAAGGCAAGGAAGAAAAACAGACACATGTAAAATGAAGTTAGATTTCAGCTTTATTTAAGTCATTTCACTTTGAATGGAGAGGTAGACAACATATAAATATTGA